GAGATTGCCTCGGAAACAGCGTCAGCATGAATGTTCCGGTAAAGCCAATCGACAGCTGGTCAAGAGGAATACGCCGTCGTCTTCTGGTTGAACGGACCATCAAATCTCTTCACCAAATACTTCTACTCAAAATGGAAGTAAGCTCAACAATTATGAAATTAAAGATTCCTCGAAACCCAACTTTTCTTCGTATATGGAATACTTCCATCGACGGTTCTAGACGGCAGTTGACAGCTCGTTCCTCGGCTGTATGCCTTAGGCGCATGGATTGGCCAGGAAGAAATAGTATGAGATGTAGTCTCGAAGCAATACGTAAATGCAAAAAATAAAGGGAAGAAATAGTTTGGCCCATTATTATTTCCATATAGCGAGTGAATCTTGCATTGTTCACAAAGACATATTTAGCGTTGATTCAAGACTGACCAGTTGGAGATGAGGACGAAAGTGTGTTTGACAATGTCAGTCCAAGTCACTCGGGATAAAGAAGGAGCTTAGCAACAGCTTACTGGCCTATCATGTGTTTTTATTTTTGATGTTAGCATCTATCCATTGGCCATTGAGCTAAAGTGTAGGGCGCAGTTCATAAGTTATACGAATAAAATGTGGGTTTTGAGAAATCTCCTGCTTCATAACTGTTGACATCACTTCCATTTCGAATTCAAGTGTTTAATGATGAGATTCGAAAGCCGATCCCACCGGAAGACGAAAGCAGATTTATCTTGATTAGCTGTCGAGTGGCTTTATTGGAACATTCTTGTTGACTCTGTTTGCAAGACAATCTTCTTCGATCCCGGTGAAAATGTGCTAACATTTCGTCTTTCGTCTGATGATATCATTATTACAACCATATTTGAGATAACAAGTGAATAAAATTTACCATCTAATCCTTTCTCTCTCACATGAGGACGAAACGGTCATCAGCATAACCGGACGTGTGTCAGAATTTGCGCAATCAAAGTGATGGTTAGGATAGAAAGAAAAAAGAAGTGGCTACTGTCATCAAATCTAGATGACTGAAAGCAAAATTTGCTTTTATGTTCAAATTACTTTGAGCCATCACTGCCGGTTTCGTGCACATGCGAACACATAAAGGCGCATAAACAAACACATGCTTTAAGGTCTCATCAAATAGCAACTGGTCTTGTTGTCATGGCGACTTAGTAGTACTTGCTTCGGCGGTGCATATACTAAAATATGAACGATACAGAATAGATTAACATGGCCCCCTACGCAAGGATGACACACAAAATGGTGAAGCGTTCCATATTTTTTGAGAATGTATCAAGTCCACAGTCTGATGCTGGGACTCCTGAAAACTACTATGGCAGACGACTTCGGACTAGGTGCGTTCTGCTAAGTCGTCCTGACAACAAGACCAAGTTGCGACAATGAGGTCAACCCACTTTTATAAATCGAAAGGAAACCGCGACCATACCAGAGGCCGCAACAGCTTGGTCTTCATATCTGTATATGTAGCTTTCAGAGATAAGCAGGTGAGTTTGCTTGACTCTTTGGCTTGAATATGGTTGTAAGAATGGCAACCTTCCTGCTCTGATGATGTCTGTCATACAATGAACGAATTTTTAGCATATTTTGATCAGAATCAGTGGAATGCCCCAAGAAACCGCTCTAGTCTTCTGGTGGGTTCGAACCTCGAATCTCTTTACGAAACACTTTAAAGTGAGTTTAACAATGCTTGTTAGTTGTTCTTCTTCTCTTGGGAAGCAGAAAACGACTTAACGACAATTTTAAGTGGCTCCTTTTACTTCGATGGTAGTTTCCAGTGCAGTAACAGAACATAATTATTTTAATTTGATTTGCTTCACTACTCGACAAGTAGTATATTGCGCAAAAGTCTATAAATGTTTACCTACACTTGCACATTTTTTTCTCCTATCGCTGACATTATGGCTGGCTAGAGAACTGCAACTACGCCGTCCAGCTCGGCCTACAGGCCGGCTTCAGTCTGGTTGGTCTGGCAGGAAGTGATCTTCGCAACGGTTGTCAAACGGCCACTCTGGCTCTGCTATGGCAGCTGATGCGGGCTTACACTTTAGCCATTCTTACTCGATTGGCAGCAGCCACTGCTGGCGCCACCTCACCCATGGACAGCGGCTTGGTGGTCGGGTCTGGCGACAAAAACAACAACAGCCTAAACACAAACAACAATGCTGTCGTTGGCCAAACCTGCCTTACAGGCTCTTCATGGAGGCCGAGACGAGGAGGTCTGGACCAAAAAGGTGATGCTAACGATAGGCTTTAGTCGACTTTTGTCGACTGTATTAAAGGAGGAATACTTATGCACTGTATCAGAAGAGCCCAAGATGTTTCCATTTTCCCTTTAATCCTAATGCGGTGTTGGATAATAATGATAAAGTGAAAGAGAATATGATGCAAAATGGTTTTTCATCACTCTCTGCCAGCACTGAGAATATTCATCATATACAGACTTAAGATGTTAGCCAGTGCTTGATTTATCATTTCGAAATAAAGTCTAGTATGGAGGACCCAGCAAAAGCAATCAAAGAAGACATTTGGCCAAGGAAGCACCGATTGCTTTTATTATTTTTAAAAATTGGTCAGTTGTCGACCACCAAAGATATGATTATTGCTGTACCTCCCAATCCATTCGTTAAATCACATGCCTGACCGAAAAGCGTGAGATAGCTTAAGGCAAAGTGAGTCCATGAAAAAGTAAAGTTTAGAAAACTGTCTTGAATTTAAGGCTTTTGAGGCAAGTTCTGAAAAGCAATAAAAGTAGCCATTCGGCAAAGGATTCTCTAGTCATATTAATTTTTTTTCGAAAGGGGTCTGACAAATAATTACATTTTACTTAAGTGCTATGAATTATGGACATGTTTCTGCCATTGAAGGATCCATTATATAATACAAATGTATAATACAAAAGCGCCACCGTAAGCACTAGAATTTTGTTATTCGATTAGTCCCGAAAGTGCTAATTAAGCATAGTTATTTAGAACATAATCGCACACCCAAATATGCAAATTTTGAACTCTTAGGCAATATTGAGTAAGCTGTCAAATCACGAGACCCATTAGCCTCATTTTGTGCAGCCCTTTTACTGATACCTGAAAGACCAACTGAGTGGTAATTCATTAATCTTTTGATTGAAACTAGGCCGTGATAAGGGTGGAAGAGTCGGTGGCAAATTGTTGAGTTATTCGCAAAGAAGCAGCATCGTCTTAAAGGTTTAGTTGACTTTCTTATGCCTAGGTTGAAAAAGCCGGCCTTGTTCACCCTTAATCTCTACAGCAAAGGGGACAAAATACATTTTAACTTGATACCCGAGGGTGTTACAGCAGACGATAGTGTAGTATCCAGAGTAAAGATTGCGGTGTCTTTTGCCCGTATTCACTCACATCGTAAACCTCTGTACAGTTGGTATAACAAGGCATGCGTCATTTAAAAAGGCTTCTCTGGCTATATACATACTATAGAAGGATACTTATGGACCCTGATTAACATTGCTTATGCATATGGTTATGTGTAGAATAATCTATATATTATCACATATTAAATTATAAATAAAATTATTTATGTAGTATAGTATAATATAGTAAAGTAAAGTAAAGTAAAGTAAAGTAAAGTAAAGTAAAGTAAAGTAAAGTAAAGTAAAGTAAAG